ATCATTTGAAAGAGAGGAAGGGCCTCTTATATATTATAGCTTAAAACATTAATAAAATTTAAATCCAGTTCCGGTTTACAGTTTAAAATTTTCTACTATAAAATTTTCTAAAGAGAATAAGCAGGCCGAAGTAATGATGATATCATCAGGACTATTTGAGCATTTCCCATCTTAAATAGCCTCAAAATTTAGTGTTTTATATAATAATTTTGACATGAAATTGGTATAAATTTACGTTTTTTTTTCATAAGCGGCGAGAAAAAAACAGTTTTATTAATTTCATTCGTGTATTTTTATAGCTTTTAGTGAAAAATGAGGCTTTTTTTATATGTAACTGGCCTCAAATCACCTCTCTCAGACTCAGGATATTAGACCTAAAATATTATACTAATTATACTTGTGGGGGGTACAGGTTTATATAAAATGTAGTGTAATATACTAAATATTTTATATATATTTCTATTTTGTTCTTTCCACCTTGTAGTCTCTAAGAAAATCTTACAGATTAGGCCGACGCCATAACAGCTAGTAGAAACAGCATACTCTTTATAAATCAAATTTTTTGAGTAATATTTTTAAATTTATAATTTTTAGTAATATAATACAGTATATTTTAAAAGAATATATATTAATATATTTTATATTTTGAATAAACGAAAACAATTAATTTAATTTAGTTATTCGAAACCAGATGGCGCTAACTTATTCAATATTTTTTTTGACAATTAACCCGCTTTATATATTTTCTATATTAAAATAACATTTATTTATTTATTTCATAAACTATATTACAATTTTTATTAAAATATAACTATTATTAAATTTATTTATCGTTATTATATTTAAAAATTTATTATGATTTTTACAATTAATCTTCTAAAATTTTGGCACTCGATATCATGTTTCTTATATTTGTATTTTTTTTTTTTATATTACGCCATTATTAAGCGCATATGGTAATTATTTTCACGCTACGATGCTAGAAGAGACTTGTTTACATTTGATATCTTTCCCATATTTGTATAAACTGCAAACAAATGACTAACTTCTACAGAATTTCCTCCATTACCTCCCACAGAATAATGTTCGATCGTCGATGTGCCAGTCTTCTTTCAACTTACGTCTCTAAGAAAATAAAATTAAAAAAATAATAAACAAAATTTTCCGGCAATATATTCACAATTTTTTTAAATTACTTCTACACCAACATAAGTCATATTCAAATGGACATAAATGGGCACCACGAACAGATTAAACAAGACAAATCACTGAAATATGAAAGGTTCTTTTCTTCTTCTTAAAGAAATTTTAACTGAATTACTACAGACAAACACGACAGATTCAAATTACAATTTTTTATTCAATCTACAACAATATAACATCAACAACAACATAGAGATATGTGGATCTTCTTCGTCATCTACTTACAACTGAAGTGGAAGGCCGAATGGATTTCCGAATTTCGGCTTTACTTGGAGGATTATATTTGGCAATTTCGGGTGCATGGAAAACTGGTGGTGAACCCGGTCCTATCCAGAGTCCACTGTCGTAATCGAATTTGCCAGTAGGCTGATTCGATTTAGAGGTAGATATCGCCCATAGTAAATTTTCGTAAGGAATTTTCCGATAAGAAGGAATCGGATTTTTTGTCTGAAAATTAAATTTTTAGAAAAATATATTTAAAAATTATATTTATTTTAAAATGCTTACATCTTCCAACGGTGATAATTTTTGAGTTCCTCTGTACTTTGTCATGATGGCTGTGAACGTTATGATAGCGATCAGCAGCACAATTGCTAAGACGATTCCTAATATAGTCGCTGTGTTATCGGGTGGTGCCACTAGAATATAAATAAAAAATTTATATGCATCGTATATGCTATTTTTTAATAAATAAATACAGTATAAATTAATAAATTTTTTACCTGGAGAGGGTGTAGTAATGGGATTTTGAGCCACTACAATTAATGTTTTTCCATCAAGATCTTTCAGTTTTAATTGATTACTATTAATTAATCTCTTTAAATCTTCGGATGCGGCTCGCAGAACTTCTTCGTCTACTGTGTAACCATTACCCTTACTTGGTACTAATTGAAAGCTTACTTCGATGCTCCCTTACATAGAAAAAGTTTCATGTTCTTATATTAATTTATTAACATTCGAATTAAGTGAATTAAACTTACCTTCCGAGAGGGTTAAATTTTGAATAGAGGTAGGAGGTAAGCGCATTATTTTAGAAAGTTGCGACTTAAATGATTTCTTTAATTCTTCTTCTCTGTTTCCTACGACTTCCTTAAAATCGGCATCAATTCTGAACCACATAGGAATCTCGACGTATGGCACAGAAGTAACGCTTGAAGTCTCCAATAAATATGGAGTGTTTGAAGTTCTAATTTCATCTTTCGAAGGAACAGTTAAACTATGTTTCCAGATTTTAAAAGTTGTTGTTTCTGTAGAAGGATTCTTCGGTAATTTACTCGTACTTGAAATGATGTTTTCTATTTTTCTCGTTGTTGTTTCCGTAGTAGATTGTTTTAACGATTCGGTTGTGTCGATTATTTTAGTTGCAATCGAGCGAATTGTAGTTTCCTTTGTGAATAAACTTGATATACTTTTAATCGTAAACGATTTTGTTGAAGGCGAATTGAAAGAAGCTTTCGTTGAAGTAAATAATTTAGTTACTAAAGTGGGTTTACTTAAAAATTGAGTTGTTTTATCCAGTTCTAAGGCATTAGTTTCGCGATACTCAGGAGTTATTTCAGATTTACTCTGTGTTGGAATTTCGTTATTATTTTCATCTTTTATATTTGCGGTAGAAGAGAGAATACTGGATACTCTAGAAATAAAATGAGTAGCATCCGTTTCAGAAGAAAGAGAATTAATTGTTTGGTATGGAGTAGTAGATTTAATAGTATTAGTTGTCTCATCAGTATGTGATACTTCGGAAGAAACAATGGAATCGGTAGGGGTTGTTTTTCTTATATCATTAACATCAGCAGGAGTTTCAGTAATTACCTCCGTAGAAATTGTGCTAATTATTTTAGAAGGAACACTGCTAATCATTTCAGAAGTTGTCTGATTGATGATAGAAGAAGTATCTGATGTACTAATTATCTCAGGTGATACTGTAGCAGCTGCTTTAGAAGTAGTTCTAAACATTGGAGTAGGAAGTGAATTAGTTTCTTTTGAAGTAGACTTTGTTCGATACCAATTAGGAGTGGTACTCATTATCTCGGCAGAAGTAGAAATAGCTTCGTTTGTAATATAAGGAAATGATGGTAATGTATTAGTTGATTCAGAAGTGATTGTACTCAATTTTTTAGGAGTAACAGCAGTCGTAGTTTTGATTATTTGGGGAATAGCTTCCGAAGAAACTGATCCTTTAAATGTTTCAGAAGAAAGCGTGCTAATTTTTTCAGAGGGAGTTATATTAATCATTTCAGAAGTGAAAGAATCGATTCTTTCCGTCGAAACAGATTCTGTTGTTTTTTCAGATATATCAGGGATAGCAGTCAGTGTTTCAAGAGAAATTGTTGAAGATGAAGGAATATTACTCCTTACAGATGAAAACGTATTAATTGTTTCAGAAGGAACTGTGCTAACTGTTTCAGTCGAAGCAGCCTTAGTAATTTTAGGAGTAACGGTAGTAGTACCAGTAAGCATAGCTCTAGTTATATAAAACGAAGGAAAAAAGATAATGGGAGTTGTATTATTTATCGATGCATCAGTCGGTATAGCAGTTTCTAACTGTGTAGTTTCAAACGTTGAAAGGCCTAGAGAATTCATCTTAGTTGAATCCGTATTCGTTGATTTTCTAGTAAAAGGTTTGTTTGTATAATTTATAACTGGAGTTTTTGTATCTACCGAATTTATTGGATAATTAGCTGAATGTTTTACGGTTTTAATATTCGGAGATACAGCTTTATCTTCATTAATCAAAGTTGAAAATTTAGCTGTAGATAGATCTGTTTTAGAAGTAGCTTCGGAAGAAGAATCTAATCGGAAATTATAACTTGTCGATAAATCTTCTTTTGATGTTAAAGTTTCTATAAAATTGCTCGTTGAATCATTTTGATAAAACTCAGAAAAGGTAGAATTTGTCGCAAGATTTGTAATTGTGGATGCCTTCAGAGTAGTCTTTCGAAATGGCATATTTGTCGATGCTACGAAGGGTTTTTCCGAAGCGTTTTCCGTGTTGTCTATAGAAACTGCTATTGTTTCCGTAGTAGTTTTTTCCGTCACTGTAAGAAAGTTTGGCTCATTACTTGTGGAAAAATATCTAGTATTATTTTCTGTCGTTAGCCACGAAACAATAGGATCGTAAGGAGTAGTAACTCTGTTAGAATTTAATTCTGATTTAACATCAAAAGATTCTGTGGAAGATATAGGTCTCGTCTCTGCAACATACGATGTAGTTTGCTCCAAATCTGTTGTATTTTTGTATAATTCAGTTGTTAATAATTCTGATTGCGTAAGTGAATCATAACTTTTACTTGTAGATGGTTCAAAATTCATTACGATTGTTAAATTAGGCTCATTTTCTTGAATACTCGAAATAGTTTCTTCGTTAGTTGATAAAGAAGTACTTATAGGAGCTTCGCTTGTATCTAAATCCTCACTTGCATAAGATGTAAAAGTTTCTTCAGAGACTCCTATCGTAACTGAATCAGATGTAGAAAGAGAAGAAAATAAAGCTGATTGTGTTCCATCTAAATCAAAATTATCCTCATCATTTACAAGTGACGGAAAATCGCTTGATAAATCAGTAACGCTCACATGATCCGTATTGTAATGAGGAAATTCTGTAGTAAAAGTTATTTCATCAGAATAAACTGTAGAATTAATATTTGAATAAATTTGTGTTGTAGATTCAATAGATTCAGTTTCTCCAGTGAAATATTCTAAGTGATTAAAATCAGTTGAAGTATCATTATCTTCTTGTGCGNTTTAAAGAATATTGCAATGAAATAATTACTATTTTCAAGCTATAATAACGACGATTAAACTAACGAATTCGGTCTAAATATAAGCAATTAGGATGCCATTCTGTATTAATATTAATAATTAGAAATGTCATTTGATTAATTTAGATAATCGTGAAAGAAAATTAGATTTAGGAGGCCATTCATCCACATTCACACTATATGATGAAGGAGCTTATGATTATGATAATCGCTCTCGTAACTCTTTAACAGAACACATACACATAATTAATTCATATTTTTACGTATATACATACTCCCTTACCTGAATCTTCCATAGTATAATAGTGGAAGGGGTGTTTACCAGTACTTGGTTCCTCCCGTTGAGTTGAATTTTCTGCAGTTTTTCCTGGATCAATTGTTGTTTTCGACATTCTATTGTCTCTATTTCTGTCTTCCTCTACCAGTGAAGTAGAGGACGAAGTATTTGAATCAGTTTCTGGCAAGGTCGATATTTGATCGTCAATTCCGTTTCCACTATGATTTAACATAACATTCACACTATACACGGCTGATGAATATGAAAAAGATGACGTAGATGAATCCTCCGATGATGAAGAATCATTATAATACGAATTTAAAGTATCATTCATTTCACCAGACAAGAAAATCTCGCTTATCTCTGATGTGTAGGTGCTGTTAAACGTAGTAGACGAGTTCATCGAGTAAGATGTTTCAATAGGATCATCAGATAGGTGCAAGGAGGTGCGGATTTCATGCGTGCTACTCTCTTTATCGGTGGGAAAAGTGCTGTTTAATGTGAAATTAAGTGAATATTGTGTTGCATTCTGCTCGTTGTTGAAGGGTGAATAGTTAAGTAAATTTGGAGAAATCGTTTCATTCAGTTGAGTACCGATGGAGGAGGATGTTGTAAACTGATCGTTTGCTTCGTCAGAAGATAAAGTTTCATCGTCATAAGCGGGAAAAGTATCACTTAACGTAGGATAATTAGTTATAGATGTGGTGTAAGGTAGAGATGTAGTTGAATTATTCACAGATTCAACAGTGAAGTTGAAAGTTTCGTGCCCATTATCTAATGAAGACGTCTCATTTATATTTGTAAGGGAGGTTGTGCTGTCGGGCATAGAAGTGCTAAAGGAAAGTGTGGTGTCATTTGGGAATAAAGGATTAATAGATAATTGCGATGATGATGATGATGATGATGATGATGATGAATTTTGAATCTCAGATTTATCAAAGGGAGGATAATTAGATGAGTTAGTTGTTTCATTCGTTACATCATACCACACCAAAGTTGCAACGTTATCCTCATCGCGTGTTAAGTTTTTAAATGGAACAAATGCCGTTATGTTTTCGATACTTACATCAAAAACTAAATTATTCTCTTGAAAATCTGTTCGATTTTCAACTAATTCTGTATAATTCACAATCGAATCGTCCACATAAACTCTATCATCTTTCACTAACGTGAATTCTGTAGTGAACAACTCATTAATTTTTGAACTATTACTACCTTTTGTTATATTGTAGTCACGGAATGAGTCTTGTATATTCGAAGACCGTGTTAAATTATCGTAATAACTCGTAAAATTTCTATCCATACCACTACTAACAGTAAAGGAATCATCCAAATATGTCCAATTTCCTATAGTATCGTTAGTAAAGTACACTAAATCAGACTCATTATCTAAATTTATAATTGAATTAATTATAGTGCTAGTGTTAAGTCTGTCATCCACTGTAACATAGGAACTTAAATCATCGACATTTACAGTAATTGATGAACTGTTATTTACATTATTATAGAATCTTTCTGTCAGATTAGATTCTGTGACGTATCTTTCAGGCATTGATGTTGTCACCTTAACATTCGTGCCTTGTATGACATTGTTTAAAGCTGGAAACTCAGCGCCGGTATTGTCCAATGAAGACGTTACAACACTATTATTGTTATAAAAGATAGGCTGACTATGTGACTTATCTTTAATAAAATAACCAGAATTATTCGAGGTATAAATAAACTTTTTGTTTAGAGTAGAAAGATCCTTTCCTGATGTATTTTTTGTGTAATTATTTACAATACTATAGCGGCTTTCACCGAATTTCGATGAAGGAAGTGTTGTTGCTGCTTTATACAAATCAGATTTGGCGATAAATGAATCATTAAATGACGCTATTGTTTTATTTTTGTTCGTATTTGAGATAAATTGTCTCTTACCCGTTATAGATAACCTTACTGAAGGTATCGTGCTTGTATATTTAAGATCTTCACCACCCTTCGTTCTTCTATCAAAACTATCTTCTATCTTTGTAATGTTAAAAACGTCATTTTTTAAAATAAGGCCATTTGTAACGTTTACATTCACATTTACAGGTAATTTTATATCAGTTTTAGTAAATAATGGCGCATTTCTCTTATCTAGAAACCTCTCAATGCCTTCGTACTTCGTCGAATTGGATAACCAAGAAGCGAAGGAAGCGGTAAAATTCACGAAAATACTCCCTACAGAAAAAGAAAATCGATTAGAAAATTGAATTATTTAACTCTTTACGACTTCAAACGTTTATTACCTTTCGTAATCGTTAAATTTTCTATACACGAATTTGGCACTTTTAACACGTTTGATAAACGACGAGTGATGTGCTGAGCAAACCATTTCTCTTTTCCTCGAACTAACCGATCGTAGTCAGCATTTATACGAATGGAAAACTGGTAGCGAACGTTCTCAGAAATACATTCACTGAAAAATAAAATAAAATATTTTAAACTACTCTAACCACACTAATAAATTTCGTCTACTTAACACTATTTACCTGTTGGGCATAATTACATCATTTACTGTAAGATATCGATTTTCTAAACTCCGTTTTATCTATAAAATATGCGAAAAAAAAAAATTATATAAAATTAACAAATCGATCGATAATTATATAAAAAATCTGATATAACCTTCAACATTGCTGCTTATTTAATCAATAAACTCGCGAGTCGACGAAAACGAATCGAAGACTTTTATCGATACGCGCCATTATCAATTGAAAAGAATAAATGATTTTTATAAATTAAACTTTTATTTATGTTAAAATATAATTATTGGCACGGTGTTTAATTAAATATATATATATAAATATACACACAAACCTGCGCCAGGCACCAGTCTGTCCAGCTAGCATACCTTTCTGAAGGACACATTGGTTGTAAAGAAGAGACGAGGAAAAAGTGTAGATATAAGTAAAAAAAATGATATGGACCTAAGAAAAGAATTCCCATTAATCAAATATAAACATTAGTAACTAAATGATGTACGGCTTTATTCTTTAACAAAACTATTTTTCTTTTTTTTAAAAAAAAAAAAAAAATATTAAATACAGAAATAAATCTATCACATTTTTATAAGGGATGGTAGTTTATGTTTAAAAATTAACAAAAAAAATTCGGTTTTTATTCTCCTTTCCATTATCTATTATTAAGAATTATTCAAGTATTCGCCCGTATAAAAAGTAAGAAAACTAAAGACAAAGCAACAATATGGCATTCGGAGAATGTTAACATCAAAGTATCCTTCGTGTAATGAGGAAAAACAGTTCTAAGATGCCATTGACTTATATAGCATTCGAGTTGTTTTTCAAGCGAGGGCATTCTTCTTCTTAAAAGAAATTCCTTAACAAACAAACAATAATGAAGCAACGATACGAAGATATTATAATTAAACTACGTTATAGAATAAGCTTTAGTATGATTTAAAGATGTCTACTCACCAGAAATTCGGTCCATATCCTTTAATATTGCTACATTGATCACGTTATCTTTATGGTCGAGCTTTATCACGTGACAAACAGCATAACCATGGTGATTGTTGTCAACAAAACACGTCTTTGGTACGTACAACGAAACAACATACGCACAGGCCACTTGGCATTTGCCAGGAGAGTTACACGCGATTATGAATGCAACATTAGAGATCAATTTCTTCCCCGAAAACAGGTAAAGAATATTGTTTCCGTGTTTTAAAAATGTTTTTTTGATTAAAAGAAGTTCAAAACAACCGGGAAACGATATAAAACTCATTTAGTTTATTTCAATATATATTTTTTTTTTTATCTACACTCCACACACATATCCATTTAAACATCTTCAAACAGTTTTTTGTGTTGATAAAAGACAACAGACGAAAGACAGAACATAAATAATATCTTCGGTTATCGTCACGAGATAAATAACAAATGTTATTTGGGTGGTAGAAAGTGTCCCAGAGAATGAGAAGCACTATAGGCACACGAGGTGCTAGTGTCAATTTGGCTATTCCGATTGTCACCGGGAAACAATTGCTGTTCTTGATTGGAAGGGACAACGTGGCCGAAAACTGGGCAACTCTGAACACCTATTAACCCCGACGGAGTTGGAAAAGCCTTGGCACAATGAGAAAAACTATCAGCATCCATAAAACCCGCAGATGCTGGTCTTCGAGCATGAAAATCCGCGCCGTATTGATGATTTCGATACAGTTCCAAAGACGGATTGCCTCTTTCTACCTCCTTGCAGCTACCAGTCGCCATGAGTGTATCTCCAGAAAGAGGATGGTCCTCGCGTGGAGCGTGGACGGATGTTAGACATCCCATCCTCAGGCGATCTTGAGGAAATTGCCAGCCACTAGCCGATGTAGATGCCGTCGTCAGATGGGAATACTGTGACGATCCTGGAAGTCCGATGTGAACGTAAGGATCGACGGAAACGTGTGCACTGGTGGGTCCTTCGATAGAAGCATATTTGCACTGGTTAGTTCTGGAGTTCGTGTTACCTAAATTGGTGAGGTCTTGGTTACCTAGAAGAAAGATCAGAACCGACATTTACTCTCTCTAACATCCCTTCCTACTCTTATCTATTACTAAATTCTGCCACGAATTACACGATAAAGAGCACATCTGGGAGAGATGCCTAACACTTGAGTCAGAAGTCAAACTTTTTTATATAAATTAAGAGCTTACAACCTACACACTTTCATCTCCTCGCTCGGAAGAAACATCCAAACTATTAAGCATCTTTCCCGAACTCTCCCTCCATTAAAAATGTCGTATATTGCAACTTACCTTTAACAGTAGGAACCGCGATATCCGGTGGAGCCGAGACTTGATGATCTTCCCTATTATGACCCGTATATCGGGGTGTAGTAGGTGGAGTAGGTGGACTTTGCGGATGCGAACTATATCCAACGGATCGGCTCGAGTACAGGCTACTGTAGTGTTTGGCATCGACTTCTCCCGTTTCGGATATAGAAGCCGATACTGGTGAATTTTTATTAGTTCCACTCACGCTTTCAGAAGGTGAAGCTACGAAAGCCGAATTTTTGGATGGTTTTCTTCTGCGCGGTTGATACTTGTAATCTGGATAATCCTTCTTGTGTTTGCAACGAAGTCTTTCAGCCTCTTCGATGAATGGTTTTTTCTCGTCATCGCCTAGGATTCTAATAAAAGAAAACACCAATTTCTTAATGAGAGAATCATTGTTTGAGGGTTTTAATTATACAAATTGAGGTAGAAACAGTTAAGAAAATAGATTAAAAAAAAAAACAAAGATAATAATCGCGATGGTTCACAAAGATAAAATTACTTAATTAGTTATATTCTCGGTATAAACTTCAAAGGGGAAATAATTAATATAAGTTGTAATTTTTAACGAATTTTAACGTTTCTTCTGATTGATGCGTTATACCGAAGAAACTGGCCATTTGCCATTTTTATAGTCTGTCACGTAGTTCAGATTTTGGAGATAAATTTGGGGAAGAAGTTAAAATTTGTAAGTTTACTTTAACAGATAAGAGGCGCATCCTAAGCCAGAGGTTCGGTTACTTCAACAATAAAAAATTCTTATCTCGTTTTTTTTTTTTCGCGTTAACACAATGGTCGCCGGCGGTTAAGAATTTGCAAAGCAAGAGAGATCGGATCGCAAGACAATCGTATTCTGATGTAGACGAGCTGCAAATATGCCAAAACAAACACATGACTCACTACTTTCACCGACCGAACAATTCGCCACACAATACATCATATAAAATTAATTATTCCCAATAAAATTATAATTATTTGGAGTGTTTGAAACACGTGTTTTATAATTTAAAACATGAAAATGTATTCCCTTCTTTCATTTTTGTTTTTTTAAACTTTTTTAATTGCTAAATTAAGAGTGCCGCATCTGTGAATGGTGAACAAATACGGCATCGGATGGTTATAAGTTTTCATCATTATCACGTTACCGAATCTAGGCACCGTATAAAAATTGAATAGACTCTATATAAATACATATAAAGACGTCATAATAATCAATTCTTAAGCAAAATTCTCCTCAAATTACATTTCGCAGCGTTTATAACTTGCGATTTGTTTCATGTTTAATATTTATATTAAATTACATAATGGTGCTTTGTAATCTTCATCAAATTTAACCTAATTTTTTTTTCTTCTTCTTCTTTTTCTTTATTAGGAATGAATCTTTAAAATGTTACTTATTTCCTGTATAAATTTTAATTAATTCTTCTTACAGATTTTTAGTAATTTGGAAGTAGAATCGCTTAATTCTTCCATCTGGAAGCAGAATTCCAGATGCAACAACTAGTTTCTTGCATCTATAAATGCGATTTTAAGAAAGAAACTGTTGTGTTTTAATCTATTTTTTCTTAAAGATAAGAATATAAAAGTTAATTTATTAATTTATAGTAAAATTTATTGATTTTTTCCTCACTTAAAACTAATTTTTCCTCATATTTCCTTGGCTAAATAGGAGTTTTGTAGAAAGATCAAGCTGTTATATTAATTCGAAATTTGATTCTTTTTTCTTCAGATAAAGGTATAAAAAATAAATTAATGGATTTGTTATATAATTTATCGACTTTTTCTTCACTTCTCTTTGTATATGTTCGACTTTCCTTAGAGTTTCTATGCTTAAATTGGGTTTAAACAGAGAAAAGTAGAAGTCAAGAACCTGCGATTTATAGTGTTAGATATATAAAAAAAAAAGGGTCATTATGAAACTTTATATGAATAAATCGGGGAAGAAGGAATGTAGATAAAAGTAATTAAAAAGTGATTACTCTTCATATTCCGGAAATACGAGATGCTAGATTTTGTATAGAAGACATAAGAAAATTTGATATTTATCGCGAATTATACGAAAAATCTGAATATAAAAGTGAAAAATTCTATTTTATCGATGCAACTTCCCAACACATTTTTCTTTTTAATAAAGATTTTTAGGTAAATTTAAAGTGTCGCCATCTGTTATTCGCATCTCTAAACTCGAATATGATCATTTAACACTATAAAGCTCTTATTTATACTAAATATTTCCTTTAAAAATATATATACTATCGCCTAAATATATCTTTAAATGTCCATAATCACGTTTTTCATGAATTCGAAGAGTTGAAATGGTAAACATGTAGATACGGAATGGGGTAAAAGCACGAAGCGCAATTTACACTCTTTTTTTTATTTTTTCTAGCTAGTTGTTTTTTTCTTCTCCTCTCCTCTCTTTAGCACCTGTTTAAATGAGCCAGTACCGGAAAACTATAAGCATGCATCCAGACATGCAGGCCAAACCAACAACATGCAATCAGTATAAACGCAGTCTGTGACTTTCCCCTCCCTACCTACACAATGAACAGTAATATGTGTTGTGTGGAACGACGGACCGTGCATGTTAGCCCGCAGCAACACGCGTGGCACTTGACAGTGCCCGAACAATGCATCCTTTCACAACTAAACACAAGCCCCTGTGTCATTAGTTTGGCCAGTTCAAGTGCAAACTCCTCATAGTTTCGAACTTCGGCTCGTATTATAAATAAAAGATAAAATATATATATATATATATATATATATTTAAAAATATATATTGTGTCTTACGTGTTTTAAAAAAATACACACAGTTTTCTATGTTTTAAACTGTTCTATTCGTCTATTTAATGAACTTTTAAGGTTCTATACGATGGCTTATAATTATAGTAACCGTCAGCTTGTTAGGTAAGAAAGAATTAGTGGGTCTTTTTTTGCATTTCATGGTGACTTGTTGAGGGAGTGGCAACAACGTCATAGATTGTCGCTTGTTTCTTGATTAATAGGAAGTAGAATATAAAGGCACTTTGTAACCACTTGTTACGTGTGGTGACGCTATGACGCTATTATTGCTTGGTATCACGTCATCTCCTAGACCTAAACCGTTTAGTTTTAGGATATTATTTTCATTAAAAAGGCCCGAATTTTTAATCATTTATATTCGAACAATAGGTAAGTGTGGTTAGACTATACGATACGCTTTCTTGGGTGTTTGATTTATGCTACTGACGCAGTTAAGATACTTGTATCGTTTTACTTACATTATTAGTCAATTTACTAACAATAGAAACGGGTCTAAGACCGAAACAAAAGGCGAAAATGATAGTCTAGCTACCGTAAATGCGTTTTTATGTAGCACTTAATTCTTTAAAACAAGATTGACATATCAAGTAAAGGAGTAATTTTGCTGAAAATTGCTCCTTTCGTCCGACTTGCTCCTAGTTAAAGAGTGTCACTTTTTTATATATGTGTATATATATATAAATCGACACTATTTTGGATTTGAAAAAATCAGTAACGAAACACTCATTTCTTTTTAATGAAGGATCTCTTCGCGTGTCATCATAGAGTTATTTTTAATTGATGTTTTTTTTCGGATTATTGGAGCAAATCGGACGATTTAACGACACGAAAGACGTGTTTATGTATACGAAAATCGACTCACCTCCATAATTTTCCTAATGTCTTACTCAATTCGGCATTGTGTAGATGAGGGTATTGGTCTGCCAATTTCCTTCGAGCGGCCTGAGCCCATACCATAAATGCATTCATGGGTCGTTTCACATGAGGTTTTCTCTTATCCGATCCACTCTGCCGACTAGTTTTAGCTACTAGAGACCAATCGTAACTCTGTAACACCTTCGATACGGCTTCCTGTATCCGCGGGTTCGATTCTAATGCATCCTGTGACGTAATAGGATTGCCAGTGGCGTCACAATCGGGCGAAAGTCCTTCGGGTCCTGGCGAACTGCTAACAGATACGGCATCCAAATCTTCGTACTCTCTGGTATCTTCATCCATTGCCATAACTACAAATCACATACTATCTGCAAGTAAAATGCCTCCATTGTAAATAATTAACTTAAGTTTAAAACGCGGATAAAGTAGCATTGAATAGGGGGACT